CGGTAACACAAGCCATGGCCCTTGCAATATCCTCTCTTGAGAGGCTGAGCAACTCTTTCGTCTTTTTCTTATCAATTTGTGGCCAAAGTAGCCTAGTTGTTCTGCAAGTGCCCTCCTCTAGCCATGACCTGTTTGCCTCTTGGATCATGCTATTTTGAAGTTCTAATTTGCAGGTTTCCATGGGTATCCCAATTGTGCCCCTGTTTTCACATAGAGGGAGATTGGTACCTTTTTTTGGCTAGCTCGTCGGCCCTGCAATTTCCTTCAATATCTCTATGTCCCGGAACCCAAATGAGGCTGACCTTGAACACGGCGCTGATATCGTTTGGAGCTGCGAGACATTCCTGCGCAACCTTCGGTCTCAGCATTACCATGTTCAATTATTTAATGGCCGCCTGGCTGTCCGAGAAAATATTAATCGTGGTCCTCGTTCCGACATGCGTAATAAGGTACACAGCCTTCATAGCTAAAACCTCTGCCTGATACACACTGCAGTGGTTCGGAATTTGGACGGATAATTCTAGTCCTAGTTCCTTGGTGAAAACTCCATAGCCAACCCTATTATCTAGCTTGGATCCATCCGTATAAAAATTCAGTTCCCACCTTCTCTATGGTCTTGGTATTTGCCATTCTCTTCTTGACGGGATGCTCGCCTTGAAGAGCCTATTGAAGGTTGGTTTAGGGGCGGAGTAGTTCACTTCTTGTTCGTGACTACCCTGAGTGTGACCTACAATGTTTAGGGACCCGGCGTAGTCGATAACGCCTCATTTCGCTACGGAACGTTTCGTCGTAGAGGCTGTGAATGCTCCAACAGTGGAACCTGGCATTTAAATCTCCTAGCACGACTTTTATATAGCGACAAGGGTAGCTAGCGCTCGTCGGTGCGCTCCAAGTGCTCGTAGAAAAATTCTTTGATCGGCTCGTCATTCCATGCTGCCAGAACGTTGGCGCAAATGAGCGAGATATTTAAGAATTTTGACTTTGATATGGATTGTAGCGTCACGGTCGTCCATCGGGGTGAGCAACACTACTTGGCGACGAAGTCTGCCCCACCACAATTTCGCTCCTTTAGATAGCACCTTTAGTATACCAAAGTCCGATGTTTGGTTCAAGTTTCCCCCTTCCTTCACGTTGGTTCTATGGCGGTGTAATCAGTAAACTTTTGTATGCAATATGTTTCTCGGGAAAAATTAATCCACTGGTGTTTGAAAAGGTATGTTTGCTTTGTCGCTTTATAGTTAAAAACAATTGTTTAGATATTGCATTCTGTATAATCAGTGCAAGCTTTACGATACATTATCAAATTTTATTTATAAATAATTTTTAAATAGTATAAAAACTTTACATTTAAATAGACTTATGTAATACGTGCCCTTGTGGTCAGCCGATTAAGTCAAGTGACATTTTGAAAATTTTTTTATTGTATGCTGATTAAGTAAAGTGTTTATAAAAAAAAAATATAAACATTAAATAAACGAAATAAAAATAGCCAAAACTAGTCAAAATGTCACTTGACCCTAATCAGTTGACCACAAGTGTACATATCGATAAATAATTACAAAAATAAAAAATTATTAATAGTTTCAGCGTAATAAGTACATATAGCAGGTGGTGTTGTTGTAATACCCAGCTTAACTTCTTATCCGATAAGAAAATGTTTAGTTGGCTTGTAGGTCAGAAATGTGTGTACATGAACGTTTTGAACTCTGCCACAGTCAACGCACAAGCAAGCGCACTTGTAGGTGATCCATACAAATTGTTGAACAAGAGAAAAACTTAGGATAACTTAAGAAATAAACACTCGAAGCAGAAAGTAATACAACGAAAATACCTATTCGTATGTTGCGTAAACTAAATTAAAAACTACATACATTCATAATCTCACTAACCGCAAGTCATCTAAATATGCTGCACACACTATATTAATAACAACAACAATAGCAGTCACACCCACCTAAAAGTTAAAAGTAATAAAATACGCTGCTTAATACTTATGACCATTGCCTCCTCCACCGCCGCCACTGCCTTTATGGCTTGAACTGCCAAATAATGAGGCCGAGGCGTGTGATGCGCCGCCGGAAGCACCCAACGAAGCATTCAATAGCAGACTGACCAGACTACCGACAATATGCGAAGCGATATGCTTGATGAAGCCACCCGAATCGGAGCCACCGGCGCCGTCATCTCCCTTAGCCTTATTGCCGTGCGAATGCCGTGAATCAGAGCGGCGCTCGTCGTCGCCCTCCTCGTCGGATTCCTTGCGGTTTTTTGCTTCTACAAAACTGCTAATAAGATTGCGCGCAAAGAGTAAAGGATTGGGACGCAAGTCATCATCATCGGGATCCTAGGGGAGAAAGGTTGTAGAGATTGCAGTATTTACGTTTTGAAATTATAATTTTGGAAATAAATGCTAAAGACTATTTCCATGGCTGAGTGGAAGATCGACCTATCTCGGCAGCCAGTTCGAAAACATTCTATCTCAAAAAACTTTTCAAGAACGCCCTATTTCAGAATTCGTTTCAAAAACGCCCTATCTCAGCTGCCGATTCAAAAACGCCCTATATCAGCATTTTTCAATACATTTTGAAGTGAGATAGGGCGTTTTTGAACCGAATTTTGAGATAGGGTGTTTTTCAATAAAATTCTGAAATAGGGCGTTCTTGAAAAGTTTTCTGAGATAGAGCGTTTTCGAACTGGCAGCCGAGATAGGTCGATCTTCCACTCAGCCATCGATTTATTGTGAGAGAAATGAGACTATGTGCGTTATTGCGTGCGATTATTGCAATTATCTATTTTCTAAGTATGAGGAGCATGAGTGTTAAGTATGTAATTAATGAAGTTTCTAAATAATTATTTAAAAATAGAGTGGAGTAATAAGTACTGCACTGAGTTGAGCGTAAACTGTGCCGAGCAGATTTCCTATAAATTGTCCATTATTTACCTGTAAGTGGAGGAGTTCGTCAAACATTTTTTAGATAAAAAAAAATAAATTAGATATTTACCGCTCCACCGCCGCCAGATAGACCATCAAATGCAGTGCCTATGTATATGCCCAGCACTGTGCCAAAGTTTTTGTTACCCTGTAAGAAATTAATGCTCAACTTTATTCTAGTTTTTTTCAATAAAACTATTTATTGTTTTTTTTTCTTTTAGTTTTAAGCAGCAATCAACGAAAAGCATATTAATGGCTTTCAGCTAAAATAATTTTTTAAAGGTTGTTCTCAGCTGCAAAAAAAAAATGCCAAAGTTAGACCTTCAAATCGGGCTGTTAAAATTTTTTTCCCCAAGTTTAGAAATCCTCCAAACTACTAATTTTCTGATTTTTATTTTTCAATAAGTGACAGAACTAGAGGCATTGTTCCATGGAAAATGATTCGAATCGACCATTTGGATTTCGGCTAACACTTTTCTTGTATCATATGACGAAGTGCTGCCAAAGGCAAAAAATTAAAATGTTTTTCAAAAATTATGCAAACTGCAAAAAAAAATTACAATTAAATAGATTTTCGATATTTATCTTTTTAAATATCACAAAAACTGTTATATTTACAAAAATGGTGCTACTCTCGCTTTGAAGAAGATGTTTACGGCTATAGAGACAAAAATATAAAATTTACAAAATTTTAAAATTAAAAATATCTTAAAAGCCAAAACTTACAAAAATTTGTGGCTCAAATGGTCTTAAAATATCCTAACATTTTCAAGTGTTTTTTTTTTAATATATGAAATTTTGAGCCTTGAAAATTTTGTTTGCAATATCTAGATAAAGTTATGTTAAATAGCTTGTTTTACTATAAATTTATTTTTAATATCTAGAGTTTGCAATAAAAATTTTAAAGTTCAAAAATAATATCTTTAAAAAATACTTTCTTGAAAATTTAAAAAATTTTTTAAATATCTAAATTTTTTAAGTATCAAAATTTTTAATCTTTTATTTTTTTTATATAGCCGCAAATATAAACTTTAAACTGGGATCATTCAGGATGTTTTAGGGCTTGCTAGTGGTATTGATTAAACAAATTTTGGCAGAAATTTATAAAACTTGTTCCTTTTACGATTTTTTAAATATCATAGTTTTTTATATTTTTTAATACATTTTTTTATATAGCCACAAATATAAACTTTAAACCGGGGTCATAACCACTTTTTTAACTAAAATATTTAAATATCTAAATATTTTTAACTAAAATATTTTTTGACATATATATAAAATAAACGTGGAAAATGTGAAATTTTGGACTTTCGAAAAACAAATTTTTTTTTCTTTTCCTTATATGGTTAAAAAAAAAATACCAATATTCATCTATTGGTAAATGTGTCATAGATAGACCCATATATTTTTTGTACACTAGCCTCTTCAGGGTTTTCGCATATTTTTAACAAACTCTTTTAATCATAAATTTGCTCACCGCCAGCAGACCGGAAATCAGTGATGTCGCAGTGCTTATTAAAGACTCGATATCTAAACCGCCTGGCTGGAATAAATATACAAAATTGTGAAATGAAAATTCTAAAATAGAAGCCTTTTACTCACCCCAAACAAAGTTGATATAACACCGGTCAAGGCGCCAATCAGCGCACCAATATCCGAGCCGCCTTCGCCCTAAAAAATTTATATGTATTTATTTATTCAAATATGTAACACGTTTTTAATACACTTATATTTGCATTTGGACGGAAATAAATATGTATAGATATTTTGCATGTAAATAGCCCACCTTGGCTTACTTACTCCACTCAAGCTCGTAATAATGCCCACCAGACCACCACCACCCCCACCGGCACCATCTGGTGGTGGAGGAGCATCTGGGAACTCATCTTCTTCTGCTCCAATGGGTATTGGCGGTAAGTCAATAGGGATGCCTTCCTCCTGTTTAGCTAACTTTGGCGCATCTGCGTCAGTTGTGGCATTGATTAGGACGATTTCTGTGCTTGGACTCACAGTTGTTGTAGAAGCTACTGCAGCGCCAGTGCTCAGTGGTTTTGTTGCCCTTACTCCACGTACTGTGGTTGTTATTGTTGTCGCAGTTGTTGTGGTTGTTGTTACTGGCGGATCGCTACGTTGTTTCAATGAACTGTTTTTACTGCTGCGATTTTCAAGGACAATCTTAGACTTTAACATTAAATCGAGATAAAAATTTTAGTGTTATTAAATTTTTGTGTAAATGATTTGCAGATATGCAATGAATTTTTTTTCTCAAATCTATGCCATTTTTATAGGATTAGTATAAGCGAAACATGTCACAAACGCTACTAAACAAACACGTAAATACATATGTAATACTATTGTTTCATGCATGCATTTGACCAGCTTTGACACTCACTTTATTGCCTTCAGATTTTAATTCCAAATCATCTTCCAGTGAGTCATCGAAGAGCGCATTGTCTCGCATTTCAAGTCGTGTATCCACGAGATTGTTACGGAAGTCCTCCTGGGATTGCAAAAGGTGAGTCTTTGAAAATCATGAGAACTTTTGTAAATACTAATTTCTATTGTGGAAAATTTCGCATATTATTTTATTTTTTTTACTTATTTTTATTTCATTGCATTTTTTATTGTACTTTATTTTCTGTTAAATACTATATTTTTACTTAATTTTATTTTGGTATTTTTTTTTTTACTTTTCCATCTTTTCTTTATTTTATAACCTTAGATTTATTTATATTTATTTTTTTTTAATTCCTCATATTATTTTAAAATCATTTTTCTCTTTTCATTTTATATTATTTTGTTCCTCTTTATTTTATCTTTTTATTGAACTATTATGTTTTTTTTGTTGCAAAAATCGATTTTCATTTTATTCTAGGCTATTTAAAATTAAATTTTATTTGGTTTTGCTTTATAATATTGTTTTTTTTTCTTAATTTTTTTATTGGTTTTAGTAGAATTTGTGTTTTTGCTATTTAAATAGTATTTCATTACTTTATTTTATTTTAGAATACTCAATTTTTATTTTTTTACTTCACTTGATTTTTTATTTATTTTATTTTTTATTCGTTTTTTTTTTATATGGCCCTTTATTTTTTATTTTATATTACGTATTTTATTTATTTTATTATATTTTTTAAATCGTATTTTTTTCTTCGATTCATAATTTATTTCCTTTCTTAGTTTTTAGTTCAGTTTAAAAATTTTAATTTATTTAGAGGTTTGTTTAATACGCTCACTAAAGTTTTTATTGCTTAATTTTATTTAATTTTTTTATTATTTTTCCACTTATTTTTATTTATTTCAATTTTGTAATTAATTTCGATTTCAGTTATCTCCATTTAATTTGTTATTTTATCTTAATAGTTTTTAATTATTTTAATTATTTTGTTTAACTCATTTTTATTAAATATTTTTCTTTTGTGTTTTATTTTTTAGTTTTAATTCATTAAATTTAATTTTTTATCGTATTTTATTGTGTTGAAGTTTACTTAAATTTTTAATTTAATTGCTATCGTTTTTTTAATGTTTTATTTTATTTTTTTTTATTAAACTTTTTTGTTTTATTAAAGATATGGTCTAAAATGATATTTTATTATATTGAGGAGTATCAGGAGTATTTTTTCATTACAAAATACTTGGATTACATTATACTTTATTTTTTTATTTATAATCTACTTTTTAAATCTATTTAACTTCTTAACTCTATAGTATTTTATTTGGTTTTTGGTTTTTAAATCTTTCATTTCATGTTTTTTTTTTATTTAGGGCATTTATATTTAATTTTTTATTTTCACATCATTTAACTGTGCTTTTTAGTTTAATTTGTTTTTATTTATTTTTCAAATTTTGTCCTTTAAAGGTTATTTAATTTTTCAGCATATTTTATTTTTTGATTTTTTTGTTCCATTTTTTATTTTGTTTAGTTATATCAAATTTCCACTAAATGAATTTAATTTAAATAAAATTCCATTCCTACATCAAACTTTTATTCACCTCCGTCAGTATTGACTTAATCATGCGCACCTCAGCGGGTACCTCCCGTGCATCGGGCACATTCCGTTTTTGCACCACCTTCTTGCTAGCCAGTCCAAGAAGGCTATTTTCATCAGCCCGCGCTATAAGATAGTCCAGCGTCTGCGTAACTTTCTCCTCCATCAGCGTTTTCATAGCACGCACCTGCTGCACAATCTGCCGTCTCAAAGCCGCTACTCGCTCAGCCGCTTCGTTAACTTCTTCACTTTTGCCTTTCGCTTCGGTGCGCTGTCGCAAATCCGCCTCATCATCATCCAGCTCTCCCTCGGACTGCCTACGTATCTGCTGCAGCGTTTGCTGCATATCCGTTTTGAAGTCGTCAACATCTTTTGCGCCCGTCACCAAATCCATTGCGCCTGTGAGTATCAGCAGCGCACGATGATCGCGCGCCAATTGCTTTTCGATATTTTGAACTCGCACAATGAGCTCGTCATCGTTTATATCTTCGGCGCCACGCAATAGTTCCTTAACAATCCCCACCAAATTGCGTTCCATTTCTAGTTCGGCTTGCCGCGCGCCATTCAAAATACCTATGGTAGTAATAACACGCAGCTCCTCGCGTGACAATCGCGACTCCAGGCGTCTGTAGGCGCCCATGGCACGCAAATAGTCGGCATTCAGCTGCACGCGCATTGGCTTGCGCACCGGCGCGCTAATAATAAGCTGCGCCAGGACAATGAATACCACTGCAGCGATGACATAAAGGGGTGTCCGCATTTTACGCAAGTAACGCGAGAGCGCGCGGGGTAGCGACTCTTTGGGGGCAGGACGCGCGATTTTTAACGATTTTTTACGGACACGTGCAGAAAATCTCCTTAGAAGCAGAAAATTCACCTTAATTATGGCACTGCTTACTGCACTGAATTACGTTTAAATGACCGCGACAGTTTCCCGATATACCGGCACTAAATTAGTGCGGTCTTTAGTAAGTCAATTTATATGACCATCATATTTTCTACGCACAGTATATGCGGTGCAATGAATCGTATCATTGGGCAGTTGCAAGTGGGTGTGCATTGTATACATTGGCATATACTTAGTTAAAGCAGCCGGAAGCTATAATTTGGGCGCCACAAGACTGATTACTTAACTGATGACATGACTTTAGTCACCAATTGAAAGTGCTCTGCTATACCGCCATTGTGATGCGTTCAATTGGTTTTCCAGTCTACTGCATCAGTTTCGCGATGCTTCGCTGATTTTTTGACATTTTTCTACGTACAATAAATTTGTATTTTGTAGCCACTTTGAATGTACACATATTTAGTATGTATTTACTATAGTATGTGAAATATATTTCCGATATTGACTCTTAAAAAAAGCCATACATGTTTGTACCATTCTACGCCAAGGTAAATCTTTACTTGACTCGATTTCCGGCGTAGGTAAAATCTTGCAACTGTATGCCCGTGTGGGCTAGTTTAATGATTAGTTACTCTTTTCTTTCATTTTAGCTGACATAGGCAACTTCCCTGTTTTGGGTATGAATATTTACATATATTTATCTGAACTGGAGTCATAAAAAATTTTGAGAAATAAAGGCCCTATAATTAGTAAGCGATTCTGTGGTGAATGTGTTCCACCGCCTACATATGGACGAGCGCTGTTAGAAAATACTTTATCGAACTTTCACGTTGAGACTAGAGGTTATAGTACAGTTACATAACTACGCTCCATTTGGTCAGAGTAATGGACAATATCTCAACCATAGTTCAGACTACGTTGATCCTTACAACTGGTTTGCTGCTAACACTATGGCAAATGAAAATGCCTTAAGATATACATACACATATGCACTTTTAGATCCTTTGACACACTTCAAATCTTCTGGACCGGATGGCAACATATCTAATGTACTCAAAGAAGGTATTTGGGTCCAATTGACTACTTTAAAAATATTTTTCCTACATCGCTAGCACTCTCTTACATATACACGGCTGGTTGACGTCGCCTTTATACCTAAATTTTGAGGAAAATTATCCGTGAAGTTAGAGGCCAATTCGCTAGGTGACCTTCATGCTGAATTGTCTGGAGGGAGGCAAAAATTTAGTTATCCCAACGGAATTTGGTATGTAGCTTGCCCTTTATCCAAGGTAGGTTGCTATTGAAAATGGGCGAAAACGGACTGTAACCACGCCCACATCCCATATAACGGTAATTTTCAGAAATACGAAAACTTCGATATTTTAGTAACTACTGAAGGTTATCCACTGAAAATTGATATTTACAATGACTTTTTGACGTAAAATAAGATTATTATAAATTTTTGGAAAATGGGCGTAGACACGCCCACTTATGATTACATATGTATATCTTGGTAACCGCTACACTAGTTCCTCCCAAACTTGGCACAGTTTCTTAAAATCGGACAATAACCACGCCCACATCCCATATAACGCTAATTTATAGAAACACGAAATCTTCGATAAATCAGTAAATACAGAAGCTAATTTATTCAAAATTGATATTTGCACAAAAAACACGTTTATGATAGTTTTGGAAAATGGGCGTGGCACCGCACTTTTATGACCCAGTGTCGATTATTTCGCTTACCACACAAAACCAAAACGTTAAAAATGATTGCAATTGAAATCGGCAAATTTCAGAAATTCTTGAAAGTTTGATGTTTCGAAATTTAAGGACGCTAATTTACTCAAAATTGATACACCCCTGCTTGCCATGTAGCGGAAGCTTACGGAAAGGTGAAAAACATATGTGACCTGGTCTACGGAAAGGGGGCTTAGGTGTCAAAAAATCAATTTTCACTTTTTGGTTGATTCGGATGGAAGATGAGATGATTTTCACTTTTAACAGCTTTTTCACAGAAAACTTTTTTCGCACGTAAGCTCCCTTTTCGTAGACCAGGTCACATATATTTAATACTTCGCAGCTGTATGTTTTTGTTTTTATTTTGTTGCTATATTATTTACATACACGTACATTAGGGTGGTCCAAAAAATGCATAGGACAATCAACTTTTTTGGTTTTCATGCTGCCATATATCTTTGAACATGTATGCATACATACACACATCTATCAGGGTAATAAACTGAACATAAAACAAATAAGAGCAGCGCTGTCTTCGGCTATGCCTATACTTGCTAATTTTTTTTTAGTTTCACTTTTATTTCAACATATTTTGATTAAAAGCAAAATACTGATAAAAATAAAATCTTTCATAAAAACAGGGTCGAAATCTTGAAATTCCTGCCCGTATTTTGTTTGTAAGTCAAATATGAGTGGCATTGTGCTACTATGATAGCACGGCCGAGTAATCATAGCCAAGTCGAAAAAAACATATAGCCGCACCAAATTTTGACAAGTTTTAAAATATTATTTTTTTGTTATTTAATTTCGGTTAGTTTTTTCTAGTTCGTTCTTTACCAACATCCGTATAAATACAAATTTAAAGGCAGTGTCACACGATTGGATATTTGCTAAAATTTGGTGTAAATCGTATCCCAATTGTTTGAACATCCAAAATATTTTTCACTATCCCAATCACGAAAATTAATTTATTGAAATTTTTCAATAGAACCTCGCTGTATTGTACCAATCTCTTCTGAATGCAAAAAAAAAAATGCCCCTCTTTTTTTTACCAATAGCCCAATATAAAAATTTACAAATCTGTACAAATGTACCAATCGAGTGACACTGCCTTAAAAATTTATGGAATTAAAAAAAAAAAAACAATCTACAAATTTTCGTGAAAATTTCGAGTTTTTTAATTAAATTCTGAGTATGCAGTTTTGTAGCCCATTGAATTCTAGTAGAATAAAGTACACGTTTCAAATGGCTAAAAATGTCAATTGATTTTTAAGAATTTTTAAAAGTTCGAAATTTGTACGAAAGTTTGTTGAATTTTTTTAAATATTGCACAAATGAATAGTCCACTTGTAAACAGCCATAGTTTAACAATTTAATTTAAAAAAAAAAAAAACATCTACAACAACAAGTAACATCCAAATTGTATATTTCTCTTTATTATCTGAAAATTTGGATTAAAAAAGAGCCTAATAACATTAAAAAGCAATATGGCAATGTGGTAGTTTTGCAAATTTTATATATAAAATTGAATATAGCGAGTTTTGAAACAGCAACTTTTACATAGCTATCT